CTGAGTGCCATGGGACCAAAGTGGTTCAACCAGAAAGGGCGCTCCCTCAGAGCAGAGGGCGAGCCCCATCCTACAAGTCCATCCGTGTTGTGTAAGACTCTGTGGGGTTCTCACACGTATGCATTTCGGAGGGGGGTGTGCGTGTAGGCTGGGCTTACTCACCCCATACGAGTACCAGAACTGCACATGGTAAAGAACTGGCAATTCCACTTTTAAAGGGTGTGAAAACAACACCAACAAAAAAAACGAATCTTGATTTTTATCATTTAAAATCCTCATCTAGGCTACAAAACTGCTGCAAAATGCAAACAAGGGTTTTGAAAAGAGCAAATAAAGGATGCTTCAAAACAAATACCATTATGCTTCCCTGTTATTTCAGTAATACACCTACAATGTTTGTTTCCACAAGTAGCACCTGACAGCTTGTTCTACAGTAAGTTTTACATTTACCTCACTATTTTAAAGATATAAATCCACAGTCAGTGTCCTCTGTCTCTCTAGTGTGCCCACTGACCCCTTTCAGAAAAGGACATTAAAAATACAACACTTTGGATCCTTACTAGATCTGTAGTAATAATAATGAACCAAAGCAATGGATATTTTGTTGTAAGTTGTTGTTCATGTTGCACATGAATCACATCAATTAAAACAATTTCAATATTTAATTAAGAGCTCAGAACTTCAAGTCAAGATGTATTACTCTCATGTTTAATTCCTTGCAGAACACTATGAAACATTGCTGACTTTAATGACAGCACAAGACACACAGTTCATTAAAAATAATTTTAAAAAATACAACCTTTACATAAGTTCTCAGTTGTACTACTAAGAAAATATCCTAATGTTTGTGAATTCCCCAGGATGGTCTGTAAAATTTTTAGACCTAATTAAATCTCAATAACAGATACAAATAACCCGACTAAATGCTTAATGAAACATTTAGACAACAGTAGTTATGTCCAACAGTAAATGCCCTGGTGTAAAAAATGTGAACAATAAAAATCAGAACTGGTGGCACCTTCTTCAGCAGCAAATTACTTCAGCTATATGTTTCCAATCTCTGTTTATCAATCTCTTGCATCAGCTTTTGGGAATTCTGTCCCACCGTTCCTTACAGAACTGCTTTAAGTGTGACACAGTACACAGTGTGAGGGTTTACTTGCAACAGCTTACTGCAGGTCCTGTCATTCGATTTCGATGCTGTTGAAGTCCAAGTCAAATTTCGGACAATTTAAAATACTCATTTTCTTCTTCTTCTTCGGACTGTTTAAGATCTGCTTATACATTGGGAATCATTGTCTTGCATGACACACTTTCAGCTCAGCTTCAGCTGACAAACGGGTGGCCTTGTATTATCCTCCAGAATTTACAGATACAGCAACTAATTCACAGATCTGTCAATGATGGCAGGCAGTCCAGACCCTGAGGCAACAAAGCAGCCCCAAAACACTAAACTTAACTGCTCACTCAGTTCATGGTCTTTGGTTTGAAGGCAGCGTTTGTCTTACGACACACAAAACATTTGGTCATGAATCGCCTGTCCAGAAAGCATTCTTCCAATAATACTATGCATCATCTAGGCCCTCTTCGGTGATCTTGAGACAGGCAGTAATGCTCTTCCTGACTATTCTCCCATGACAACCATTCTCAATCAGTCTTTTCCAAATGGTTCTCCGACATTAGCTGCAATGAGAGAGGTCTGCAGATCCTTAGATTTTGCACAGATATTCAGTGGATCATCAGATGATCATGTGGATGATTTTCCAAGCTGCTCTTACATAGACCTTAGCAGGACAAAAGGCCATGGGTAGAGTCACCGCGGTCTTGAATGCTGCGCATTTGCAGACTCTTTGCCACTGAATGGATGGAGTCAGAAATGTTTAGAAATGGTTTTGCATTTACCAGCACTTTCCAGACTGCCGAGCATTGGCTATTCTTCATGAGGTCCTGGGAAATCCTTCTTGATCATGGCAGGATGCGTTTCCACAGTCCTGCATATAGGACAGCTCTGCCCAAACTCACTTCTTCTTTGCTTGTTACACATTTCACTATCTGATTCTAACCACACTCTTAACTGTGATAAGACAATTAGGGGTTCGCTATTATTTTGCATTTGCTTTAAATTATTCTTTTTCTACTTCATACACAACAGCATCCAAAGAAACACTGAACTGGTAAATATAAGATGTTATATTTAAAAAGACCAGTTTTACTTAAGGATATAATGAGAAAGGAATGGTAAATCCCATTATTATACTGTAGTATCACTTTCTCTGCTCTATATGAATTTGTTCCACATCACAGATACTACTTCAAACTATCACTAAGCTTTCCGAGCAATACTGCAACACACTGGAATTTCAAAGTGCAGCAAGCATCAATATTTCCAAACTTTCACGGGCAACAACAAAAAAGGACTGTACAATAACCCTTACACAGACTTATCTTGATAATGCATCTGAATCCATCAGAAAATCAGTACAATCCAGACAAGTCAACACAATTTACTAAGTACTGTAAATGCACTAGCCAGCTGGTAGAGCAGGAAAAAGGAAATGCTGCTGTGAAATGCAGTTTGTCCCAGGTGATAAGTAGAACCTCTCATTTAACCTCTTCTCTAATTAGCAACTAGTGGGAAACAATTTTAGCCACTGAAGTATTTTGTAGATTCCTCCTGGAAACCAAAGTTTAAGCTTATTGTCTTTGTTCTTCTTTTTCCTTATCAGCAAACACTTGTACACCAGCAGAACAGTTATTATAACCTTTGCAATTGGTAAGCAGTGCAAAGGCAGATGAGATAGACATACGGCATCATTAATGGTAGAACTTAAAAATAATTTAAATATACACCAGATGCATATTTTTAAGTGACATGAAAGGCCTCGATACCATGATTTAATCTCACACTTGGCGAGATGAACGACCCGATACAGTTCCAAAAGCATACACAACAGGCTTTTGATCTGTATGCATGTAATATTCACCATCTCAAGAAATCACTGCTCAGCCACATGTAAACAATGTTAACAACCTGTTCGTCTGAAGTGATTTTTTAGAACTTTTATCCTTACGATTTAAATCCACTGGGAGATGTCAAAGGAGTGTTAGTAGGCCTGCGCGATATCCTGTTCATCAGAGCTGAGCTGTTTCTGACATAATACCAAGCCTGTCCATGGCCACGACCTACTCTGTAACAGACAGAATGTGGTTTTAGTGTCATTTCAAAGTGTCTGTGTGAAATAAGAAATTATTTTGTCAGAACCGTGTCAAGGCTGGAGCAATATATTGATTATTTGTTCCATGTATTATATCATTGTGACCACTATGGATAGTCAAGATGATTTTTCAACGCATAACAGGCAATGTATAACCCAATCACCGTGGTTTTGAGAGAATGACTGCACTGAGAAACATGCATTCAAACCACAGTGGGGCAGCATCCTTTTATAATCAACATATACTAAGAGGTCTACGTACAGAGCTTTCTTCCAGAAACGGAACAGAAAGTGAACCAGTCACCTTCGCCCCCTCACACTCATGAGCCACAGAATTTAAACTCACTTTCTGTGCTATTAAACAGCACCAGCGTATAAAAAATGTTATGGCATTCCAACCCATTTGCTCTTGGTAGCATTCTGATTCAGTAGGTTGCATACCAAACTTCAGGGGCTAGCTTAAAACCCATGTAAAACTGTTGGTCTTTGTCTTAACAAAACCAGTTGTGTCTAACTGGCAATACAAATTATACATCACTGGATGACAACATCAGCAAGTTCAAATTTAAGTTATATTAGCAAGAGTGAGCTCAATCTGTCCTTGATGATAAATTCTAACATGTATGACTTCTCATCTCTCATCTCCTACAGGATTTAAATAATAACATAATATCGGCGTGATAGGAGCACTATTCTTAAAGAGGCTACCTGAACCAAGATCGCACTTAATTAACTTTTAATTTAAAAAAATAAGTGCACACCAGCTGGGACGAATGACTAATTAGTTGTTCCCCCAGCCATAAAAAAGGCTGTTCCAGTTAAAATGACCGCTGTGATGGCACACTGATATAATACAGCTATGACCCAGGTCCGCGGGTCATAGAGCTCACTGCTGAGGAACAAGAGGCTGGCACGACCAGTGAAGCAAGCAGCTGTCTGTCAACAAGAAGAAGTGGCGCTGCTCAACACATTTAATGCACTGGAATGCACGTGGCACACCCAGGTGCTTTACGAAGGAGGCAAAGACGTTCATGCTGAACACATCTATTCACATAACTCCATTACAGCCGCACAGCTACACAAAACTATCACATTCAGCACTTGCTCCCACCAGCCCAAAAAACAGTTTTTAAGACTTAAATTATACGAATTGTTTATGCCGTTTATACATTTATACATAGAGATAAGCACTACAGCTTTGCACAGTTACTTTACAAAGGTAATCCAAAGTTCTACACAGCAAGGGAAGAAAGAAGCATTCCCCATAACACGAATGGCTAACAACTGAATAAGTGAAATCTGGAAGTACCACATCCAGCTTAGAAACACCAAATGCATATTTCATGACAGATTTCAGGAAGAGAACTGCAAAGATTGATGTCCAAAGCTGCTGTAAGAAGGCCACTAACTCACACTTTTACAATCCAGCAGCTTTTTGCTTCATACGGGATCATTGTTTTTCTTCCTCCGTTTCTTTGCACAGCTGCAGAATCTATTAGCTTACTGTGACAGAGTTCTGTTTAACAAAGATTAAGTCAGGCAGCACACAGTCAGGCAACAGAAAACCACTGAATGCCGTGTAGTCTAGAGATGTATAAATTCATTCATTAAAACCTTCATCAAATGATTTATCAATGTTTCTCCAGAATCAGAATCTCAGTTTTCAGAGATTACCTGCATGGTGTTGGAGGCCCAGTTAGGGAGAATTGGGGACAGTGAAGGTGGTGTCAGGGAGACTTCTGCCAAAACCATTTAAGCATGATCTATTTATCAAAGAATTCTTACCTTTTGTGAATTTCATGTAGTGAACCCGCTTTTTTGAAGTCTTGGACTTCTCTTCCAAGCTGAAGCTCTGCTTCTGTTCAGAGTCTGTAGATCCTAAAACGCATCAATTGCGAGAAAGTAAATCACCAACCACATTCAAATCATTCGGCATGGGATCCACTTTAAGCATGCCAGAAATTAAAGTATTTCCGTCAGATCATTTAAAATCAAGCAACACAAAAATATTTTTAAATAAAGCAAAACATATGGCAAAGCTTGCACCAACAAGTATTAGATAGCTTTGGAGCTATTGCACAATTCTAATGCTGTGAGAAAAAAAATGACTAAGAAAAAGTCATCATGCTATTAAATGTAAATTTAACACAGATAATCAACATAAATTACACAGATCATGCAAATCTGAAAACACATCTCCAACACATTATCAGAAATTAAGAAAAAAAAGGGACAGGTATAAAGAAAGTGTAATACAATAAAACTGAACACCAGCTCTGTTTCCACAGACCTGGTACTATATTCAGAACACTGAGCTTATAAGAAAGGGTATGTGTCAGTAAAGTTCACCAGGGTGTCACAGTTATTCTAACAAGCCTAAGTCAAGCTCAGTCCCCACTGAACATCTACATACTGGCTGCAATTATGTCTAGACATATGGTTATGCACAAACATTTTCTAAACCTCGTCCGAAATATACAGTATTACTGTTGAACTTCCACAATTTCTGCACAGAAACTGCCTGCATCTATATTTGAATTTCCATCTGGAAAAACAGAAAAACATTTTAACAGGAAGCAAGAAAATCAAAGGTGCTTCCTTGTTAAAAACCTGAGAACCTTGTTCAAAGAGAGTTGTACTACATTTTCAAGACTTTTCTCACTTACAATCCGTATCATGAAAAAGTTTTAACAATTAAGTTTCTGCCAAACAAGAGAAGTGTGATTTATTTGCGTTTTTGGATAGAAAAAAATCCAGTTACAGAACACTCTTCCTAGATCCAAAAAGATATTTTCTTAAAATAGGACTGTTGTTCTCTGCTAATCTGTATACATCCTTTTTAGTTGGGATGTGTAAATTCATGTGTCAATTATCAGTGTTTATTTAGAAAGACGTCATTATAGATACAATCTTTTCTGGTTCTATTTGCATTTTATATTTACGGGTCCACATAATAATAATTTACAAAACCTATTAAACATCTATTTTTTTCTTACCTATATTGAAAGCAATTACGTTTTCTTTTCAAAATCTATTTGCATACAATTCAGGCCCCATGAATGCAACTGAGCTGTATTTTTGATAACACAACTGTTCCCTTTACATTTTACACATATCAGCATTACAGGAAACCCTTACACGTTTGATTAAAAGATTTTAACTATCACCCTGAAAGCATGCCAAATATTATTTCAGTGGATAATACCCAAACACTGGATTACTTCCATATGCTAGGAAAACTGATAACTGAAAAAGTTTTAAGCATGTCACTAAATACAGCTCATAATCTTATCTTGACCAAGAATCTCTTGGCATTTAACACTTATTTTTCTTCTGCCTCAGCTGGTTTTTGTCTGCGACACAGACTTTCAGAGACCTGTACCCCTTGACCTTGCTTCAGTAATGTTGCAGTAGCACCACTCAGTGGCCTGCATATAAAACAACACCAACCCAACTGCAGGATTCATGGTTTGGAAAGTAGCCAGTACACGTCAAGAAGGGTTACCGTTTTGGGCATGGCAGGTGTTCAGGTCAGCAAGAAGCTTATTAAAATCATCCTGATGGGCAATCCAGTTATCCTGCAAGCAAAGATTACAAATAAGTAATGTTACTAATAACACAGCAACAGATGTGAGCACTTGCAATTAAAAAAAATGGCCGACTTGAATGCAGATGTGAGAAAAAATAATAAAATATTACATATATCTAACTACAACAGAGCAATCCATAACAATGTATAACAGACATAAAATACAGGTCTACTGATTTTTAGCTTGTGATCATTGGGACATTGCATACCTATCAAATAATTGGAATGCATAAAAACAGGAAAGCTGGAATCCCAAAGTCACGAATACAGTATGTCTTTGCATTCTTTAACTGACAGTTGTTTCCTCTCTATACTTATCTAAAAGGCTTTGGTACCGTCTTAACAATAGCAGCTGGATGTCTTTTACTTAGAAAGCTGTAAAACTAAGGATGGCACATGTGCCGACTGATAAATGGACGTAAAGTGCCTGTTTGTTAAATATCTTGATGTCTCCAAGTGAATCTTTGCGATCACAGCAACATTTACAGCGAGTCTCAGAACAGTTATTCATTGTGATCCCTGCAAGTTTAACATCTTTGCTACCTGCAGGCACGGATGAGGAATTTGTCCTACGAGTGTAAAAGTGTACAGATTTATCCTACCAAAACTAGAAAACCTGCTCAACCAAGAAGAGGAGCGTTACTTTATTAATCACAAAAATAACCGTCTGAACCACTTCTTAGATTTGGTTAAGATCAGGCTTAAAAAAATTACAATAATTAAAACTAATTACGTTCAAAGACATAAGCATGCTTAATATACCCGGCTGAATACAGTTTTCAATGTACACAGGGGTTACATTCCTTAACCTGCTACGCAACCTGAATTCTGAACAAGACACATTTTCATATTTTCACAGTGCATTGTACATAAAGAATTCTAAAAACGTATTGAGCCTGTTTATTCAACGTGTTTAATTCTGTATACAAAATGATATTATCCACTACATACTCGCATAAAAAAATGGCATAAAAAATAGCCACAAACATATACTTAACTGCCGTATTTTATAGGGGGTTGACAGTGTGGATGACAGTGTGCGTAGCAATATTGGCGCAAACTTTATTGTATCTTTAACTTTCCTGTGTAATGCAGAAATAACCTTCTTTCATAAAACCTTTAGGGGATTATGAAATCTGCACAAAACCACCAGTTTATTTAAATAAATAAATTCCAGATTAATGATCTTAGAAACAAGTTAATTCTTATAATCAAACTCAATCACTATGTCTGCCCTGTGGCTGGCATGTCCTCAGGGTAAATGATTGCAGAGACACTGGGCTCCAGTGAAGGTAGACCTAACCCAGTGGAATTTCAGAGCTATTCCACAGTGAGCTTTAGAATCCTCCAATATACCGTTCCTAGACTGTCGACTGTTGACACCGCAGCCTACCTCGTAGCTGGCAGAGGAGCCCAGTCCCAGACTGTTATTCTTCACTTTCACCTTGACGTGCTCTGTGGCCCCCTGCTCGCATCTTCCCAGCCCCTGAGGAAAATCACACACAGAACAATCACTGACTCCCTGCAATCAATCAGCATTTCATCGGGAATAGATGTTACACAGAAATTGCTGATAAATATTTCTTGAGACACGACTGACAAACACTGTTTAGTTGTTTATTAATGCACAAGTAACAATTCCACAAAATTCCAATGTTAATTTCCAACATGGGATTATTGAAGTTCCTTACTGAACTATCAGCCAGAGATGAGATGTTAATCCTGGCTAAACTCCACTCTATACTTTCACAGTCTGGCCTTCCTAAGGCTCACCCTGAACTAAACTGATGTAGCTATTTCTCCCTTCCCTACCTGTTCTGCTACAGGGGCTGCTGGAACTTAATAGTGACTGAACCAGGTGGGTAATGCACTTCAGTGGTCGATCAAGTTGGTTCCCACCTATATATCCTTGAGAATGAAAAGGCGCTAAATAATTATATTTACTAGTATTATGTAATCCTTCAATGGCGATACAAACAAGGTTCGACGGTTCTCGCTCGCTACCTTTCCCTTCGACCAGCCCATTTTCTCCAGCATCTTCTGTCCGAACTTGGACTCATCATTACTCCAAGCGCTGTTCCTTGGATCCACAGACCACTTTTGCTTCCTGCGTGCTAAAAGAGAAGGAGAAAGGCCAAATGTCAAGGTCGTCTTGTCCAAACGCAACAATTCGATTTCCTATGAAATGGAACATTGCTGCAAGGTGTAGCGAGAAATCCGGCGATAATGTTTCCTCAGAACAAAAACGAAAAACTACAAGCAGTTAAGACCCACTAGGAAAGCATTTTTATTAATATATACGTTGCAAAAACTACATTATGTAAACTATTCATTTTCTCCAAGAGGATGACACAGTCGTGCTACATACACTTAATAAGCAATACTTCGAGAGGTGCCGCATTATAAAGACAACTCATCACCAAAGCCGTATCGTTTCACAGCTCAAACGACCTAATCTACCTATATATATATATTACGTTATGGTCACGAAAGTTAAGTGTACAGAATCTAAAATTTCCTGTCAACCACATGTCAGCATAGATGTGAAACAACATTATAACTTCACACATGTGGCAAAACTCACGTTCTGCAAGCATCGCCATCTTCGGGGCTTCTATCACATGGAAACACTCTGACCTTCCTGCGTCTGTCTAAATATGTGCCCGTCGCGTTTCAGCACTTAACACTAAAATAAACGCTCAAAACAACGTATGACAAAAAGATGAACTTTCCGTGTATTTTATTGGATTATTTGTACATTTATCAATATGTCTTGCTTTGTCTCGCATGGAAAATAACTTCCTCTAACTTGGTCATTCCTATACAATGTCCTGTATCAGGGGGAATTCAGACAATCAAGGAAATTACGTTCTGGCAGTGAACGGTAACTATGGTAATAGCAATTGTAAATTGTAAATAATAGAAATGGTAACTTTAATAACTATCAAAATACCAACTGAGCATGTCAAATATAGTCTAAACTCAGACAAATAAAATGCAAATTATGTTTGAGATTGTTCTGTTACGGCAATAGAGAAAGTGCCTATATACAGAAGTGAATTCTGGGAAAGTGAGTGCTGGAGCTCGATATACTGTAGTCTGACAGCTCTGCAGAATTACAGAGTGCTGTGGATAAAGTTGATGGTGACTTTTCTTTCAATAAAGTTGAATATATTTATTTTAAAGAGACTCTTGTACAGTAGTTGTCCTCAATATACAACGAGTATTATTTTCTGAACTATTAAAGAACTATTTCTGTAATGGAAGGATCTAGAATTTGGAAAAGTTAGTCGGGTTAGTCGGCGATTATTTTTATCCTCACAACAAATTGGAACTAGTCCTCATTTCTATTTAATATAGAATATATTCTTTAAAATTATTATTTTGATATTTTTGATATTTACTATTGATACACATTCCTTTCACCACACAAATAATTATAGGTGTAAGGCTAACTTCCTGCACTTTAACCTCATAGTTATTGTTTTATTTCAAATCCAATGTGCTGGAGTACAGAGCCAAAACAGCAAAAATTGTGACTGTGTAAATACTTATGGACGGCACCGTAGATATCTATAATTAATTCAGTTCTATTGAATTTGTAAATATGTCACGTTATTTGTTTTTTAAAAAGTTTTCATTATGCATGAACACAGTGGTGGTGAATTGAATAGAGTATACATTTATTTTAATGCTATTACAGCTATTTTCAATTATAGACAACCCGCCTCAAAAATATGAACGCATTTGCTCGTGGAAAATCTTCTCTCTTTTGCAAGACTGAGGACTTTTTTATATTCAAGAATGAAGTTAATAAAAACATTTACCTCAAGGTTCCAGATGAAGTAATATTTTAAAAGCAGAATCAGAAAATGTGTAGCTGAGTTACAATGCCTAGCTGCACAAACACCATGAGGTCAGTTGCAATAGCTGGGTAGTCGCTAGTGTTGTCAAGCGATTAATGATTTCTGTTAGTCAACATTAAAAAAACTGCCTTTTTTACATCAAAATGCTATAATGTGACTCACTCTTCGATTGTTTTTAAATTGCAGCGTACAAGTCCCATTAATTTAGTCTTTTTTCTTTCTTCCATAACCGACCGCTATTTTCGTTATCTGCCAGCAGGTGCCGCCAGCGACGCGGCTGTGCATCCCCAGCGTGTGAGAGTCAGTCAGATGAGGACAGCAGCAACAACAAGCATGGACGCCGCCTAGTGGTGAAGTGTAGCAGCGTTACGTTAGCACAAACCATCCATTCGTATTCTCACCGCTTTATCTAATAAAGAGCCTCAGCAACCCTTCCCGTCAAGCTAAGGGCGCAATGCAGGACACACACAGGCATAGGCTTGCACACGCTACCACAAGGACCGGTTTTGCCAGGAGACAATTAATCTACAGTATTAGTATGTTTTTGTACGGTGGGGACGAAACCCACACAAATACAGGGAGCACATGTTAATCACTGCACCACCATGCTGCTCTTGTGAAAAAATAATAATAATGACAGGTATGGTGGCAGTCTCATTCTAATATATGATGGGTAAATACATTAGAATTATTTTGGTAAGATGTTTTAGTTTATGTCTGTACTTTGATTCCAAACTGAACAGGTCAGCACGTAAAAACAAAGGGGCTGGAATTAATAAACTTGATTTGTTGGACAAACCTTACTGAAACTGTGAGGAGCTGTATTAATGAATATGTATGTTTATGGGTGAAATTGGATTAACGGAAAAATCGAAAGTGTCCTCACCAACGGGACCACCGTGTGGTACGGCAGCACCTCTTCTCGAGAGAGGAAGGCACTGCAGAGAATGGTGAATGTGGCCCAGAAGATCATCGGCTGTGGTCTGACAGAGATTAAACAGCTCTATGAGGACCGCTGCCGTGGTAGAATTCTGGCCATCACAGAGGACAGTCACCACCCCGGGCATGAGCTCTTCACCCCACTGCCCTCAGGCAAGAGATACAAGAGCATACGGACACTCACCACCAGATTCTTCAATAGCTTCTACCCACAAGCAGTGCGATTGGTGAACACATTTGGCCATACCCCTCAGACCACACCTACACCATCTACCTCATTATAATTTTATTTATTGCACATCTCCAGTCATTGTTTACATGTCTGCATTGTTTACATTCAACCAATGCTAGTACATTGTCTACTGTTTGTTTGTATATTGTCTTGATGCACTGTCTGCACTTTGTGTTTTTTAAACTAGTTTTAACAATCGAGAGACTTTCTGTAAGTAAGAATTCCATTGTACCAGTACATGTACCGGTTACATATGGCAATAAAGTTCAAGTTCAAATAAATCAGGAGCTGTTTTCCTGAAGTGCAACAGTTACATTTCAAAAATTGAACACTAGAGGACGCTCTTGCATGTTGGGTTTTAGTTGAAGTTTCTTAGGAGTTCATAAATCCCGTCCTGGGACAATCCAGCAGCTCTTGTAGGCCTTTTAAAATCGCCTGCACCTCAATGGAAAATTGTTAAACCTGTCAAATTAAGTCTTGATTTAACCTTAAGAATTCAGATAGAATGAAAACCTAAAGATACTGCGCCCTGTCAAGGCTACAGCTACACATACCTGAAGTACTGCAACTAAAAGATGCCTGAAGTTAGTTCAAAAACAGTATAATATATTTTCAGTAAACAGTAGAAATCTTCAATTTCATTTAATCACTCAAGAAAAGGTATAACAGCTGCTCATACAGGAATTCTGAGAGTCGATATTTCACTTCCAAATTGACTTTAAAGCGATGACCATGATGGTTAGCACAGTTTCATTAATCCTGGGTTTAACTGACTCCTGTCTCTGCGCACTTTGCTTGTACTTCCCACCCACATGTGGGTTTTCACCAGGTGCAGCTGCAATAAACAGACCTAGGCTGAGCTTGTCTTGTTTAACTGTGTAATCAGGGTGTTGTCAGCATGACTGTGCTGATGTTTAGAGGCACCATTAATATACAATCCTCCTCTGAGCTGTCATGTGTTTCAGTCGTGGTGTTCTCAGTAGTTTTCTACTGTTTTGACGTGGATTAGAGATAGACCTATGTCTATCAGTTCAGTAGTTCAGGCAAATCTTAATTAATGTGATACAGAGACAAAACATATTAAAGTTTATTTGGCATGGCTTATCTGTCTGCGGTACCAGCAAGAGTAAATGGAGTGCCGAGGAGGCGAATTATTATGTGTAGCAGAGAGGAAGTGGGCAAGATTAGATTTTGTCCTCATCATGAACTTCTGCTTAAAGCACCATAGACTATTCATACCATAGGAGTTGTGATCTATCTACCATTTATGCACACCCTTAATTTAATTCCACCCTATCTGAGACCTCTAAAGGTTAGTATACAATCAGCTTTTTATTTAATCATTTGTTACATTTAGCAAGGTAATAACTTGTTCATTGTTCAATAGACAGGAAGGCCTGTTTGTTGAAGACTGTTGTCCTGGATATAGACCTTAGAAAAGTACAGCTGGTGATGTGCAGGTCTTGCACTGTAGTAAACTGTACCTACTTCCGAGTAAAGCTTAGTTGCACAATATAGTTGTTATAAACACTCCATTTTTCAAAATCGACACAATCTTTTGTGTATGCGTGCACTGTTTTCATAGAAATTCACCAAAAAGTGTTGGGTATACATTCAGCCTTCTCAGATTACAAGGGTACGCTCAAGGATGCATATCAGTCTTCCAAGATAATTCTCATTATTACCATTTATTGAAGAAAGGTTAATGCCCCATTACAGGACAGGTATCAAGACTGGAAGATAATTTATAGTTATCCCCAGTTTAACAGTTAAAAGTTATCCCCAAGGACAATGATGCAAAACTGCCCTGATGGAAAAGGGGTGGGCGCCAGCGAGTCCTGCTCAGTAACTGTATTTTGCATCATGTGGCTGACCTGTCCTGCCCCAGCATGTGGTCATGGTGCAGTTCTGCCAGGTTCTTCAGCCCTGTTCTTTGGCAGCACACCATTGCGTCGGTTATATGCCAAAACCTCAGAGCTGTGTTACCCAGGGTCATTGAACTCAAACAGCTATCATGGACATCTCACCACTGCTCAGAGCAGTGATTTACAGGACAATAACAAAACCCGACTTGGAGATGGTGCTCCAGTGGAAACCTTTTCCTTCCCTCCTGCTGTTTCGATAACCTACTGTATATTTTAATCATGGGCATGCAGGATGTGTTAGGTCAGGCGCAGCACAATGTGAAAGAATGATTATTTTCAATACACGTCTCACACAAAAATAAAAATACTCGTATGGGAAAAGATGTATATCCAGTGTTAAGAATGAAAAGTTAAGCTTTAATAAAAGCTTTCATGAGTAGAATGACGTTTTTAATTCTCTCCTGTTTAAATTGATTTAAAATGTTGATCATACTATAAACTGTATGTCTCTTTTCAGATACATTTTTTTGCGTGTCACTTTGAATATCTTAGCAGCATATGCTTATCAGAAGAGTTACATCTTTGTGTCTATGGCTTTTAAGTCTTAAGTCCCCAAGAAATGCAACAGTTCAAATAAAATCATGGACAGAATGTTGCGGTAAAAAACTGAGATCACTTTTCTAACCAATTCTTTTATGTGACTCTGATAGTCATAAACTAGGAGTAAACAAACAAAATGTGGTAGGACTGCCATTGAATGTGGATGTTAAACCAGTTAAGTCCTTGTAAGTGACCTTCC